AATGGAGCGAGGCGGTGGCGGGGGGAAGGGGACGGTGACATCGGCCTCCACCCAGCTCTTCCTGGGCGCCGAGGGCTTAGCTCCCGGCTGCCCCGGTCACCCCTGCAAACGGTGCCTCCTGGAAGGGAAAACCGAGGCCCAGGTCGCACCCCGGTACAGCGACCTGCGTCCTGAGCTTCCCTCAAGGCCTCAGGGAGGCCCCGGCCGGTTTGGCCCAGTGGATAGAACGTCAGCCTGTGGATTAAAAGGTCCCAGGTTCGATTCTGGCCAAGGGCACGTGCCCACGTTGCAGGCTGACTCCCCCCAGTAGGGGGCGTGCAGGAGGCAGCCAATCAATGATTCTCTCTCCCCATTGATGTTTCTCTCTCCCTTCCCCTCTAAAATCAATAAAAAATAAAAGAAAAAAGACCTCAGGGGGCAATGGCTACAGTACCTCATCTAATTTGTGGTTGACTGACTTTTTCAGGAGCACTAAGGTGCTCACTGGGAATTTATTTCAAAGGGAGAAAACTAACCCAAATTGTTTTCAAATGCCATCTTTTTTTTTTGTTTTTAAATATTATTATTGATTTCAAAGAGAGAGGGAGAGAGAAATAGAAACATTAATGATTGTAGGGAATCATCGATCCGCTGCCTCCTGCATTCCCCACTCTGGGGACCGAGCCCGCAACCCGGGCCTGTGCCCTGACCAGGAATCAAGCTGTGACCCCCTGGTTCATAGGTCCACGCTCAACCACTGAGCCACCGCCGGCCGGGCTCAAATGCCATCTTTATGGAAATGATATATTGTCATAAATGAAGTCGACATAATCTGTGTGCAGACATTCAATTAAACATACTAATTTCGATTATGCAGATTTTAAAAAATATTAGAGCCAATTATTTTACCTTTAGTATTCAGAGATTTTTTTGTGGGTCCCCAAAAAGCCTGTAGACTTACATTCTGAGGTGCTGGGGGCTGGGACTTCAGCATATGAATATTGGTAGGACACAACTAAGCCCAACACAGGGACTGTGTCCTCCGCCCCAGTGTACCCCGAGCACCCAGCAGAGTGCCTGACAAAAAGTAAGACACGGGAACACAATTTCTATCTAACTAACTGCTCCAGACTAGCTGTGTGACGTTGGCCTGATTTCTTCTGTTCTCTGCACCTTAGTTGCACCATCTGTAATATTAGGTTGGATGAGTTGGGGTTTTTTTTTAACCTTTTCTAAAGATATGATTTTATTGATTTTAGAGAGGAAGGAAGGGAGAGAGAGAAACGTCAATGTGAGAGAGAAACATCTATCAGCTGCCTCCCGTATGCACCCCACTAGGGGGACAAACCCACAACCTGGGCATATGCCCTGACCAGGAACCAAACCGGCAATCTTTTGGTGCATGGGACGACACTCAGCCAACTGGGCCACACTGGCCAGGCAAATTTTTAATTTTATTGGTTTTAGAGAGAGAGAGGACATGAGAAAGATTTGTTGTTCCACTTATTTATGCATTCAGTGGTTGGTTCTTGTATGTGCCCTGCCAGGGGGTCAAACCCAAAACTGTGCGTATCGGGTGCCCGCTCTAACCAACTGACCTATCTGGCCAGGGCAAGTTGGTTTGCAAGGACAGTCTGACAATTGAGTCTCTAGCCCAGCATCCTTAACCTCTACAATGAAATCTTTCTTCCCCCTCACCACTAGAGGGAGATGTGGCTTCCAGTTTTTTCTTCCTTTGGAAATGTACCTGTTGTCCCAGGGATTTTAAAAAGTGGAGGAGCTGGTGTGGTCAGTTGGTTGGGCTTTGTCCAGTACACCAAGTAGTTGCCAGGAAGGCAGCCCATCAATGATGTTTCTCTCTCACTGATATTTCTAAAAAAAAAAAAAAAAGTGGAGGCGCTGAGGCCAAGGACAGCCCGCAGACAAACTTGGTTAGATTACTCAGTCTTGGGCTTGAATTTCAACTCTGGCTTCCTGGCTGAGACACCTTTGCCAAAGTCCCCCTGAAAGTATTAGTTTCTTCAGCTGCCAATTGGGCAATGGAGATGGACAATCCCTGAGCACTGCTAGGTGGATGTCTCATCTATGATGACAAAGGGGGCAGGCTTCCAGGTAGAGCTCCCAGTCTCGAGAAATGCAAATGCCCCCTCTTGCTACCCTCCTAGTAACCCAGTTCCTGTCTGCGGAGGGGTCTGGCAGCTCTGCCTAGGGAACGGGCCTTTCTGAAGGCTTGGCCTGGCCCGAGAGGGGAGAGGTCTCCAGGGAGGCAGGTGACCCCTCCCCCATGAAGTGGAAGGCAAGAGAGATCCTGGTCAATTCTAATTTTCGAGGCTCCGTGTTTACTAAAGTATGAAATGCCCAAGGAAGTACAAAAAGACAATTCAGGGTCAAAACTAACTTAGAAAATTAGTTTCTTCATAAGTGTATGTTGTAAATATACATAAAAAGGCAACCATATTCCCTGGTCAGCCACACGCAGGGCTCCCTGACCAGTGTCTGGCCCCAGAAAAGAACCATGCAGTCAGACCGTAGAACTTCCCAAAGATGCTGCTGCCCTTGGGGAAGGAAGGTGGCTGTGCACAGAACTGGAAGCAGCTTGGTTAAGAACCAAAACCAGAGTCAGGAAAAAAGCACAGAAGAGGGGAGGGAGGGACTTCTAGTGCCACAAGAGAGCCCTGCAGGAGAGCTGAGGACAACGTCCTGACTTTAGGCAGCTCAGAACGTACCCTTCTTGGGTTTGTGGATTCAGTCATGACAGACTGAATCCTCCTTAACTACGCAACCAAGACACTTATTAAACTCATTTAGCCCAGCTGGAGTGGCTCAGTGGTTGAGCGTCGACCTATGAACAAGGAGGTCGGGTTTGATTCCCAGTGGAGGCACCTCAGGTTGCGGGCTCGATCCCCAGTAGAGGGCGTGCAGGAGGCAGCCAATAAATGATTCTCATCATTAATATTTCTCTCTCCCCCTCCCTTCCTCTTTGGAATCAAAAAAAATATTTAAAAAAATTAAACTAGTTTACTTGCATGGAAAGCTTTGAAGGGAGTCCAGGCTTTAGATGAGTAAGGTCCCCAATTTTAAAAAAAATACAATACCCATTTAAAGGGGAGAACCCCATCAGATTGTGATGGTTAAAAGTTTATAGTTAGTCTATTTCTTTGTGGAAAACAGCAATTTTTGCACATGGCTACTACCTGCCTCGATCATGCCATAGTTTCAGACATCAGTACTGCAAAAGTCAGAGATAAAGTTGTTTTAAGTCAGAGTCAGTAACTTCCAGGAAAGGCTTCAGTTATCTCTTATTTGAGGATAAGAATGAAACAAGGTGATCCTGCCTTCTGGTTCATAGAAGGCTGCAAAGTGCTGTTTCCTCGCTTCTGACTGAGGCGTGATGTGCATTCTGTTCTGCTGATGGAGGAGGACAAGGTGTCAGCTTTGCTTCCACGGAGGGTTAAAATGATGGCATATACTATTTTAAAAGTTCCAAAATAACACTTTGAACACACACACACACACACACACACACCCCACATTGCAATGTAATTGTTGCTATTCACAAGCTACTTTTGAAACTTAGAAACAGCCGAAACCGGTTTGGCTCAATGGATAGAGCATCGGCCTGCGGACTGAAAGGTCCCGGGTTCGATTCCGGTCAAGGGCATGTACCTGGGTTGCGGGCACGTCCCCAGTAGGGGATGTGCAGGAGGCGGCTGGTCGATGTTTCTCTCTCATCGATGTTTCTAACTCTCTATTTCTCTCCCTTCCTCTCTGTGGAAAATCAATAAAATATATTTAAAAAAAAAAACTTAGAAACGCCTTTAATGTGCGATGCAGTCAGGTGAGGTGGCCTGGTGATGACACTCAAGTTTAAAGTTGTCTGGAGAACGCCTCTCAGTCCTGCCAGTAGACCTGGCAAGTGTCAAATAAATGCTGAAATCTTTTTATTTTTATTTTTTTAAATTTTACTTTATTGTTGACAGTATTACAGATGTCCCCCATTCCACCCCCCTTTTGCTCTTCTCCTCCCAGCCCCTGCCCCACCCCAGGCCTTCCCCGCACTATTGTCTGTGATCACTGGTTATGCATACCTGAATATGAATGCTGAAATCTAAATATGAGACCTACTCCCCAGCCAACCACAGTCCTCCGAGATGAGGCTTGATGGCAAGCTTGGAACGTGGGGTATAAACATGTTGTTTTATCATGTTTGTAAACCCTACAGGGAAAACAACTTTCTTCAAGTTGTGACATATGAGAGGGCAGCTCTTCAGGCGTCACTTTCGTTAGTGTTTTAACAGGGAAATGACATTCGGACCACCTTGTCGAGGGGAGGCGGATGGAGTTTGCCCCCCTTTTTGGTTTTGCTACCAATATGAACCCTGACTAACCCAGTTCTTGCTGGAAGAGGGTCCCTGCTCATGGCT